GACGAAACGAAAAGCGCTTTTTCCCTTGCCTTTTCTGGATCTCTTTGGGTGCCTTCCAAGCCCCCCTGCCCTTCCGCCTTTGGCAGGAGGCTCAAGTGACGTGATTCGCGGCTGACGGAAAAAACTACTACAAACAGTCAAAAAGGGACGTATTCGTGCATCAGAGGTCGGAAGTTTGAGTTGACTGAGGACAGCCAATCCTTCGTTGAGGTAGATACGGGCACTTTTCTGTGTGTGCCACCTACCTTGAACTAGTATGCGGTCTAAGTTTTGGTGCTTTTGGAACCAAAACGTTGCCCCTCCCCTCCGGAGGGAATAGGGTCGGAACCCCATGTCCTGAATTTGGAGGCCTTCAAGGCAAGAATTGAACAAGGTTCGCCACTTTGGTGGGGAGGGCGTAAGCCGAGTACTAGGGGAACCGGCTTGTTTCCACGCCTTTAAAACTTTCACCACGGGCTCATATCCTAGGACTACACTTTCAGCAGCCCCGTGGCGTTTGCCACCCTTAGTAAACCCCAAGTTCACGAGGGCTTGTCCAGTGCCTGTCCCAAGTTCCACATGGCTTGACACAACACCCAAGATCTCACCAGTACGCAACATGGTGTAGAACCCCAAAAGTAACGAGACAGCAAAGGAGATCCAACCGTTAAAAATTGCCCACCCCGCCATGGCGTGGACCAGATGCTCCGGCAAGGGCGGGGCGCGGTTGGGTATCTCATTTGTCTGCCACGTCTTCAGGAGCCTCCAGGCTGCCGGCATGTGGGTACGAAGTCCAGGTTGGAGGTCCTGTAATCCAGCCAAAGTGTCACATGCAAGGCCTCGGCCCTGCCCTGTGGCCCAGAGGTGTTCGAGGTAGTCACATACCAAGGGGTCTAGCTTCATCTTGTTGGTGGGCAATGCGATGCCTTCCTTGCGCAAAAAGCCGAGAAAATGGTCAACTGCCTTGTCATAGCGCTTACGAGTAGCCGGTTGCACTGTCAACTGTCGAAGCGTTCCTAACTGTCTACGCGTCTTTGCCCTATCCTGCTGAGTTCCACCCTCCAACACACGCTTAGGCATGCTTCTGCTTACCGCGGATGCGAGTTCCCCACCGACTTGGCTTGTCAGCAGGGTTGCTATCTGTGTGCACGTAACCCCACAGGATCTGAGAGTTAGAACAAAGCAGTAATGAGTTGATCCGAGACATTGAGCTCCGAAGCTTCTTAGAGCTGGTCCTTCCACGCGTAAGGGCATGTAGGCATACCAGTGAGTCAGTCAAATGCAGCATACGCACTCCTTGGCGTTGCTGACGCTCAACCCTCCAGCGAACCGCGTTGAGAATCGCCCTGAGCTCCAGCGAGTTGATGTGCTCTCGGCCTCTCGTCCACCTCCACCCTGAGACAATGCGCCAACGCCACAAGCGTGAAGGTACTGACGCGCGCAACCGATGGAACTTGACCAGTTGCGTACTCGGAGTCGAAATGAGGATGTCCTCGCCCTTGAGGCTGATGAGGTTGCCCAACTTGAATGCAAGCTGCGCCTCACTTCCGGAAGTCGGAGGCACGCTCCGAATCGGCATACGTACCAGCCGTCCCTGGAGCGCAGTGCTGCCATCGGCGCGACATTTCAAGACAATGGCTTGGGGGCTCAACTCTGGGGAGATGCCCAACTTAGAGAGCAGCTGATTGAGTAGCCACGCCACCACAGGCACGCTCCAAGTATTCCCAAGTAGAGTGAGCCGAATATCAGTGTGATGAGCACCCTTGCGTTCGGACTTGCCACAACACGGGGCTGTGTAATGGAGGGGGAACCCTACATTACCTCCCTCTCAGCTACCGAAGGAACTCGCAAGTGGCCTTTCTTGTTGACAACAGAGTGGACCTGCTGATACTGGTATGGCGGGAAGCGATGAAGATCACAACGCCAACGACTCAATTCCTCCTCGGAACAATGTGCGATCCCTGCGGGCTTCCGTCCTGGCTGCACTGAAGGTCTTGCTGTTGTAAAGGTGGGGAAAGGTTTGCTGAGCACCGCCTTAGTCCACCCTGGCTCCAAAACTTCCTCAACCGGCTGCTCTGCCACGAGATGCCAGACAGTGACCTCACCAGAGAGGTCACACGTTGCCCCAATGCCCTTGCACAAATCCCATGTAGTCCAGTACAACCGAGGTCGATGACACCACGATATTTCCCCTGCGTCGATGTGAACTGGGTCAGAGCCAAAGTCATGAGACATAATCCGCCGGTCGGTAGCATCCATCGAGCTGACTGACTCCATCAGGCAATGAACCTGCGCCCAAGGGAAGTACCTGCGGATGAGCTCACGCACCCTGGAGACGTGGGTGAACAGGGAGGACCTTTCATCTCGGAGTGCGCCCTTCCGATCAAAGTTGAGTCCTGAGACTCCCTGACACGGGGGCCCAGCTCCCAGCACCACCAAACTGCACTGAGAGAAGCGCAGGCTCCACTCTCGAACCAATTCCTCGGAGATGTGCGTCACGTCCTCAACATGCACCACCCCAGGATAGTGTGCCTCTACCACTCGCCTGGCCTGAGGGTTCTTCTCAACCGAGATGTATCCTAAAACCTCAACGTCCTGTAGATCCATTGCGACCCTAATGGCACCAATGCCATCGAACAACCCAATAACGAGTACCCCGTGCTCAACCAGAGGCAATGGCTTCTGCCCCCGCAACTCTCCCTGTGCTGCTAGGCTCCCAAGCGGTGTGAGTCCTTCAGAACGGCAAACTCCTCCTCCTGTCGTTGACGCATCACTGCACGTCACCATGGGATGCATCTGCAACCTGAAATCCATCCGGATCAAGGGCAGAAAACTAATGAACCGCAGGATCTCAAGGCGACAATCAACGGGCAGTGGACGCCACTGGACCCCACCAGGCTTGAAGGATTCAATGAACTTCCAAACCGCATTGAGCGAGCCAAGCGTAGGGCGCCTGAACATCGAGAAATAGACGAGGCCGCCACACACCACCTGGACCTGACGCTGTGACACCATCTGCTGCCCACACAAAGTCAGCGCGAGGCTGAGGTACTTAGTGAGCTTTGACTCCTTAGGGAAGGCAATCCCACGCACTCCATCCACAGTGGCACCTTGCAGTTCCGCATGCGCAGAGCGCTCAACAGCCTTCTTCTCGTTCCGAGGCACCTGCCATACCCCGTACTCATGTCGTAGTGCCAGCACTCCCGCCGGCACCGAACCCTCTACCTCAACCATGCCGGTGGCCTGCACCTTCTCCAGCAAGTCGTAGTTGTCGAGGTAGACCCGCCACGTGGGATTGGCCACAGTAAAGGGCCTATCCTTCCGCAGCTCTGACTCCGGAGTGTTGACGTGAGGAGCACCCTGGGACGACAACTTGACAAGGTTCCGATGGACGTTTTGAGCAAGGCTCACCGAGTTCAGAAAGCCCATAGGCAACACCTGTGAGGCCAAGTAGATGTTGCGTCCCTTGAGGTCCACGGGAAGGCAGTCATCAGGGACAAGCTTGTTGAATGCCAGGAACTTGACCCAGCACCTAGGTACTGCCATCGTATAAAAGAAACACTTCACATCTTCAGAGGAGATCAGGAGGTTCTCGTTGGGCTGGAGGAAAAAGGGTGACATCATGCTCCAAGAAGGAAGAGTGTCGATGTCTCCCCCAAGGGGTTGACAGATGTTATTGAGTGGCACCAGATTCATAATCAGGCGACAGATCTCTGTCCCGTCCGGAGTCCAATCCTCCTTGGATACTCCAAACAGGCCGTTTAGGAGCTGTCCGCTCCCCGTGTTGAACACCTGATCCTCTTCGAGGAAACAACACACTCCAGCCGACACCAACCCCGTGCAGAGCTCACCCCAAGCTCCGTCCTCTACCATCACCCGAGGGCCCTTTGTACTTCCCCACTTTTCACGCGGCTTCAGAAAGGAGTCAAAGGACAGAACATACTCACGGCAACCCTGGGTGCAAACTTCGTGAAGTGGGACACGACCTATCTCTTTGGGCAACGCGGGGGACACATTCTCCCAACGAATCCACCGAGCCACTCTGACCTCGTCTCCCTTGTAGTCGATGCCCTTGATAGAGAAGAATGCCTGCCAGTCAACCCCCACAGTTTGAACTTTAAGTTGACAGAACCGTTCAACCTCTTGCCGAATCATGTCCAAGCACGCACTCTGTCCCGGTGCAACGTCCTCCTCCGAAAGCACCTGTTCGCCCCAAAACGAATTCAAACCAACCGTAACACAAACAACCCAATTCAACGTCAACTCATGAATGTCAGGCCACAAGTTCTTCAACACCCCCATGGAAGTAGGCAAAGGAAAGAAGGCGGCCTTTCCCCTACCAAAGGTCTTGCTGCGAAGTGGTGCAACTTCCATGAGTTTCTGAAGAACGATTGCCCCGATTCGATCGACCGGCGTCCCATCAAGATCCAAAGGCTCAAACGAATTTTTCAGTCTCGGTCGGCAAGTGTCCAAATCTTGAAGAGCTCCCCCCGCTAGATCAAAGGGCGGAGGAGCTGGCGGAAAATCATAGCTCCTGGCGACGGCTGACGTAGCCGCCTCATCCACCTTGCCATCACGGCGAGGCGGGTCACAAACTCCCAAGCTAACCACACCCGTCTCCATCAGCGGCCTTTCATCAAGAGTGCCACGAGGTCCCGACGGGTCCGGCTTCATAGTCCCAAGCCCCTGAAGTGGGCCTGCATTGATGGCTGCTATTTCGCTGCCTGCTCTTCCTTCTGCTTCCTGCTGTCTCCTTTCCCTGAGGTGCGGCCCTTGCCCTTGTCGAACTCCTTGCGAACTGGCTGCCCCTTGTCTTTCTCCTTGCCCTTGCCCTTGGAGCGCCGGCCATCCGGCAGGCCTGCCAGATAAGTCACTTTTGCCTCGTCGGCCGCAGCCCGCTGGGCTGAGGAAAGCTCCTCCTTTGCTGCAAGGCTCATAGTGTCCTGCGGACAAACCTCTAGCCTCTGGGAGACTGACCAGTGAGAACCGCTGAGGCTGCTCTCGATCGACTTGATCCTCTGGGCGATCACATCGGCGGCCCGTACAGGGGATCCCCTGATCAACCAATCCAGCGCTGTGCATAGGTTCACAAGTTCCCGTTGTACTGGACCTGTAGACCGGCGAATGAGCTGCTGCCGGAAGTACGCCAAGCCAACAGGAGCCAATGCTCCCGGGCGATCGACCGACCCAATCGACTGGAGGAGCCGTGATCTCATGGCCTGTAAGGCTTGAGCAGCCAAAGCTCCCGGAGCGAACTCGGCGATCTTCTGTAGCCTGGTGTCCGGGTCGAAGAGGGTTGAATCCAGAGCTTCCCCATCGTGACTGCTTGAAGCGCTCGATGAGTTCTCCTCTGAGGACCCCGACTTGGTGTCCTTGGCCTTGCGGCCCTTGCGCCGAGCTCTCTTTGCAACCTTCTTTCGGACTTTCTCCTTCGGGTCGAGGCCTGTCCCCGCATAGAGGGCCTTGAGAGGCTTGATGGACGCCGAACGTGGCTTCCGCCCACTCAGGTCGACCGTGCTTGAAGCCGAAGACGAAGTCCCTGATGCAATGTCCTCCTTCTTGGCTCTCACAACCTTCTTCTCCTTGGGCTTCTTGTCCCCGGAGCTGAGGTCGCCCTTCTTGCGCTTTCGACTCTTCTTGTCCTTCTTCTTCTTCTTGTCCTTCTTTCCCAAGGAGCGGGCCCGCTCCCGTGCCTCGACTGCTGGTGCTCCTCGGCCGGCTGGTAGGTCTTCTCCCCTGGCACGTAGGTCCTTGAGATCGTCGTCGACTGGCTCGACTGTGACAAGATTGTCGATCCAGCCCTCTTCCAAGTCGTCGGACTTCCTCAGACGGGCTTTCACGCAATGGATCAAGTCCTCGGCAACTCGGTCTCCTGTACAGTGCGCATCGCACCGATGTATCCTGACCAACCCCCGGGGCTTCCCTGAGGCGTACTTGAGAAGGTTCTCGTTGTTCGTACCCGAGAGGTTGGCGTGAAGGTGAACTTGACCGGAATCGATCTCGACCCTGTCCACAACCCCCGCTGCTTGACAAGGTGCTGTGAAGTAGGATCCCTCTACCACTACCACCTTCACACCGCGGCCCAGCTGCTCGAGCGGAACATCCCTCAATGAAGCAAGTCCACCATCCGACCAGGCCTCCCGATCCCCAGGAGCCACACCCGCCGGAGGAACAACTGCTGGTCGTCGTAGAACACCTCGTCGTGGGATTCGTCTGCCTGCAGCCTTGGGTTTTGCTTTGGCCTTCACCCGGGCCTTCGGCTTTGGTTTTGCTTTGGGCGGCATTCTGTTTAGTACCGTCTCCAATTGTACCCTCGCTCACGGTGCTTGACTCCCTTGGTGCCCCTAGGGCGTCGTTGGAGTGTCCAGGATGGGCTCCTCGAAGGGCTCCTCGGCCGGACTGCACTCGCCTGGTGTGGGGGAGGATAACTGGGCTCCACAGGTCCTGATCGGACTGGTGCCGGTGGAGGTGGCGGTAGCCGGGAGAAGTGGGATGCGACGCTTCCCTTGGGAATGGGTGCAAGTCCAAGGAAGCTTGGGTCTGATTCAACAAGTCCCGACCAATCGGGCTCCTTCTCGACCTGTGCAACCTCCTTCTGAGTGGACTCCTGCTCCTCAACACCCTTTGACTCCTCACGCTTTGTCTTCCTCTTTCGCTTAGGCTTCTTCTCCTCCTGTCCTGCCTTCTTTGAAGACCGGTGCCTCTTCCTCTTCTTCTTTTCTGCTCCCGGAGTACGGTTAGGAGCTGTCTTCTCCTCAATGCCTGCCTTCTTGTCCTCCTCGACGGGGGCTGGTGCGTCGTCTTGGATGGTCTCGTGAACCTCGGCTAGCGGCTCTTTGCTCTCCTCAATGTCACCCTCACGCTTGACAGCGCCGACCTCAGGAGCACTCCGGCGTCCCGCTTCTGGTGCAATTGGCTCAACGGGAGGTGCAACAACCGGCGGCCTTGAAGAAAGGGGATCCGAGTTGAATCCAGGCGGATTTGCCGCCGCACGCTCAGCAGCCAACCTCGGAGCTGCAAGCTCCGCCAAATCCAGTAGGGCACCTGCAGCTACTCGCAGTATAGTAAGAGCCTCCTGCTCCTGGTCCCTGCAAAGAAGCGGAGCCTCTACCAACTCCCGAAGTCGGCCGATGGTCCGGCAGCACAAGCAAAGAGCGTTCTCTGACCGTGGGAAGCAACCACACCTAGTGCAGGACATGCACCGGGGCCAAGCTCAGAACCACGATCACTGCGGAACATGCATTCATGAGGTGCATCTTAATTTACGGGGGCGAAAATACATATAAGTTCCATTGGCAAGCAGACTAACCATCCCCAGCTCAAACATCTGTATTGAATCTGTTCCTCTCTCTCCATCTTCCTTACCGGTCTTCATGCTTGGATGAAATCCTGCACCACGGGCATCACACCCTGCAAGTACTCGGATACCCTGATTCCTCCTGCAAACAATTTCTCTTAGCAAAGGATGTGCTGGAAGAGAAGCTTCCCAGTTGCAGGCTACTGGAGCAGTTGTTGTTGGTTTCTGGCAGAAGCTAAAGCAGCCGCCCGACATAGTTATCACATGTTGCAAATCTGGAACTTCAGGGGGCACGGCCACGGTTTCCCCAAGTAGCTCGACTTGTTTCACTTCGGCCTGAGTTTTTCTATTTTTGGTGCTGTTGAGGCGTTGTTCTGGGGAGGGTGGTCAATAACCACACGGTTCCTCTCTTAGTTTCTAGGATGTGGTAGGGGGTCCCGTAGGCAATAGCCTACTGATGCTGCTACTGCTACAAACAACAACAATGATGATAGTTGTTAGCTTGTTGTTTTGGAAGGGTGTTAAAAAAATGGCGAGGCTGCTCCAGTCTTGTTTTCACCCCATTGTAGAGACACAGTAAGAAAATGTGCATTGAAGGGACTGCAGTTGTTGTTTGTATCTTGTTGTTGTTGCTGCTAATCCTTGCACGAACGCGCGCACATACAATATGTATTGACCTTCCACCCACATCAACCTTTGCATGATGTACCCTTTGGCTTGGTTTGCGGACCTGAGGAAAATCTTCAGACCTAGCGAAAGGAAAGAGATTGCAGCAGATGTGTTTAGTCAGAAAGTGTGATGCTAGGATTTGTTTCACAGCTCCAGCCTGTTTAGACTTCCTCCGCTCTGGCATCTAGTCATGTATTCCGATGAGAGAGTCTCAAGTTCTAAGAGCACTTGAGTACAGTATCAAGCTTGACAAGTCATCTGGCCGACTCTCGTGGCCGACTGTGAACTGCAGCCTTACTCCCACCTTGCCTATACAGAAGATTAGAGAAATGGACCAGCAAGGAAAAACAGAATTAAATAAAACCATGTAGCTGCTTGAACTTCCTTCTGCCTAGCCTGTGGCACACAAGGTTGAACAATATGAATAAGTGCGGGGCAAGATGAAGTAAAGTCAGAGCAATGCAGGACCGAGAAAAGTAGACGAGATATTGGAGGGTTTCTAGTCCATGTATATAGGAGTGCTCAGCACTCTTAAGTAGACGAATCTGACCTACAGAGTATTGAGCGAAGAGCTGGAAGTATAAAGCAATGATGGATTATGCTTAGCTGAGCTTACTGTGTCCTTAGAGGGCCTCAAGTCCAGTGTGTACGGGAAACAGTCAAGAGTACTATCAAGGCTCAAGAGCATGACATGGAGAGCCGTCGTGAAAAGCTCGAAGGGTAGAGCAGAAGGGAGTCTATATTATGTAATATTATGTAAAATGCTATATAGAAATTCAGAAAACAATACTTCCAGTGTCTGGAGCATACTGCGGCAAATGTCCTCTCATTGTATAGTTCGTTCAATTCAGAGACTCATGTCTTCCAAAGCTGTCCTAGGAGTCCTAGGTGCAGTCCAAATTTTCCCACACCCTTCTACAACCCAAAAAAAGAGGCTTTGCTGGATGCAGTAGAAGTGGTTTCGGAAAGAAAGAAAAGGAGGTTCTACCAGCTTCTGAAAAGCTCTTCCGTACAGCACCCTGTCTCCTGAAAACTGGCTTTGGTTCGCATTGCCAGGGCCACACGCAATGAGTTGATATCGTGTGCGTGTGTTGCCAGCGGCCGCTGTCCACAAGATCCGTCGACGCCACTCAAAAACACAAGCAATACCAGCAATGTATACCCAAGGGCGGGTTGATCCATTGGGGGTTCTGTACTTGGGATCTCTTGAAAAAATAGAAAACGAAAATACACATTTAATAAAAAACATCCAAATCCGTCGATCTCAGTGGCAAAGCCCTCACGAAGGGTCACCCCGACCGTGTCACCCTCTGGGTCCACCTCGCTGGAGATCGGCACCACGGAGCTCACTGACGTGGAGAAGCCGGAAAGCTCGAAGACCTCGTTCTGGCCGCTGCTGGGGTCGAAACGGAAGAGCTTCACACCTGAAAGCAACGAGAAGAAAGTTCAAAAACATCAGAGATATCCAACCGCTCTCGGCACCGGTGCCTCCTGCTGAGCATCATCTGTGTGTCATGTTCTCACTTCATGTGCACTTCATCCAATCGTGGACTCATGAGACTTTGACGATCGATTGCAGCTGAGAGGCCCAAAATATCGAGCCAAATCAGCTTCTTGGAACCTTGGGCGGTCAGCCCTGTCTTTCGGGTCAAAAGCCAGGGTCCCTGGCAACTCAAGCCAGTCCTTCATCGATCTTTGATTCAGTCCAACTTGCAGTCCTGTATGTGTGTCAACTCCATCATGAATACACGCCGACCACAGACACGCGCGGACCACAGACACGCAAGCTCTGAAGTTCACACCGGCGAATCTTGCTTAACACAACAAGCAGGCCCAAATCTCTTCTGCAACATGAAAAATCCGCGAGCAATTCTTCAACTGGCCTAAGCACTTCAGAAAATGTTGACGTCTTCAAAGAAGCACTTTGGGATAATGAATGAATCAATGATAAGTGAATGAGTGAGAAGCTAGCAGAACAAAGTCTTGCTCACTTCTATGTTCGATCCTTTTCAACTACTTTGGCTCTGATTTAATATGCCCTAGCATGTCGAGTTCTTGTTGCCCTCGTCAATATCAGCTTCGGAATGTTTAGTGTCGACTCAGTCGAAAACGCCGTCGCGTCAAACGAGCTATTTGCATGGCTTCACATGGCTTCACTTGCTGTTTGCCCACTTCCATTCCTGCTTCCTCTTCGCCATGCTCCAAGAACCTGAAGCTACTTGACCTCACCCAGAGCCACGTGGCTTGCAGCGAAGAAACGACTGTCCCAGATCGATCCTTCCCCCAAGCCAGCTTCCAGCTGCACTGCAACCTCTGCTTCTAGCACTGGCACCGCCATGGCAAACGTTCTGAAGGTTGAGCCAACACAGTCACGGGCAAGAATCGACCCTGCTCACGGAAAAGTAGGATAACTTTAGCTGCTCCCAGGACTGACTAAATACTGCGTTCAACAAAAGATAGGGTGAAAAACATGTTTGCACGCTTCTCGCATGATCCCTCTGATTTAGCGTCTCCTTTGCCACCTTGGAGCTACTGCAAGGCGCTAGATAGCATCCTTGACACGAGTGTCGGCTTCCATGAGACCTCACGCCTTTGTGAGGAAGACGCGGCATCCACTCTGCACCGAAGCCGTCACAGTGGATGGCGGTGGCCTGGGCAACTTGACGGCTAACAAGGGCATCGCTACTAGTAGCATGTCTAGCTACTAGTAACAAGGTGCCTTACTAGCCTTACTAGTAGCTTCTTGTTACTACTAGTAAGGCACCTTGCTACTAGTAGCTAGACATGTGGAGAGATACTGTAACCTCGAGAACAGCGCTTTACCCCACGAGTTTTCATCTGCTATGCACCCAAACTCAAGCGAAGTCAACTTACACTCATTATGTAGTCATGTACTATATAACTAACCTATTGGCGGTGGTCATCAACATCGCACAAGTGGCTGCACTATACTCATCCCTCAAACACCGAACACGAACCACAAGCCAGTTAAGCTCCCATCGCGCGGGGAGCGGCAATGTCAACTGAAATAGCACAGCCTGGCCCAACAAGGTGACCACAAAGGTTCCCATGGAGAAAGTTCCGTATCTTCAGTTTCTCAGACTCTTGTTTCTCTCGCCTTTCACTTCATGCGCCCCGAATGCAATCGCTTTCTGGATGCTAGCTCCATCAGCCTGGGTCATGTGGCACACACCTACCTTGAAAGAGAGTCTCCATCTTGGACCCCGACAAAGCTTACAAAGCAAATGCCTTTGTGCCCACCTCAGCGATCGTGAACTGCCGACGTAGGCATCAAAGCAGGAAAACAAACCTGACACAAACACACCTTGGCACACGACCTGGCACAAAGAATCGATTGGACCATAAGCCTTCGACCTCCACCCGGTGCGGATGGCAAGTAGACATCGGTGAGCTCTCCAAACCTCAGAAAAGGGACATGAAACTGTTTCGCGCTGCTAGTAACTGGAAGGTTCCAACCCCTCGATTCCTAAAGCCAAAACTGGCTAAGCCTGACGCTTCTGTGGTTTGCTTCGAAACACGGTGCACCGGATAAATACTATTTGCGTCTAAGGCACTGCGCGAAATGTGTTCGGAGCTCAGCTTGGCCCAACACTTGGGGTACCTGGACGCATCACACATCGCACCAAAGCCCCTCCATTTCACTTGCAAATTATGAGCCATATGTAGGGTCCAAGCGGATTCCCCAGTTTCCATGAGAAAGTTTCTAGCACGTTCTTGGAAGACATGACATGTCACTTGGATTGATGAAACTTTGCGTGGCCCACTTTCAAAACACTGTGTATACCGCCGGACTGAAAGATAGAATGCCTGCTGTGGGTACGAGGGTATTATTAAGGGACGATACTTAGAATTGCCTGCAAAAGTGTAGCGATGGTTTGTTGTTTGGCATCTTTCTAGTTGTTTAAGGAATTCCTCTATAATGTTGTATAGAAAAAACAGTCTATATATATATATACCTACGGACTGAAACTTAGAATGCCCGCCCCAAAAACGCCGGAGGCAAGAAATCGTGGGTACCCCACGGCAAAATCGGGAACAATTGCAGGTTGAATGCACAGGCTGCAGGAAAAAATAGCATGCGTTATGGAAGTGTTTTGGGATGTCAAATCCAGTCCAAAACGCCTGTACATAGCGAGGAATTTAACACTTAGAATGCTACTGATATACCTATGTTCCAATCTCATGGTTTCAGTCCGACTTGCCCTGCGATTTTCAACACCACGGCAAACCCACAGCAAAAGCCCACAAACCGATGCACATAGTGGAAAATTTAGCACTTAGAATGCGAACAATAAACTATGTATAATTATAAACGCCTGAGTCTGTAGGTAAAATTGTTCCTTTTGAAACCCTGTGAATTTCTTTTGATGCCTTTTGATTTTCTTTGGATTCCTATCGATTTTCTTTTGATTCCTTTTGATTTCCTGTTGGTTCCAATTGATTTCCTTTT